TATAACTGTCTAGTGAATTGAACAAAATAAAGGACAGGCCATGACTCTGTAACACCACAGATTAATGTATCAGCCCTCTTTGTCACATTAATTGTCAGGATTTAAGAAAACAAGGAAGAAAATGTTATATTCAAGTCATTAAGACCCCATCTTTACACAGACTACAAGTCATACTACCTAGTGCCATCAACTAAAATTCTTAAAGGCAAGTTTGACAAAATTTTCCCCTGACCCCTCAAAGGTATTCCACCATTTTTCCATTTAGCCGCAGCTGATTACTCTTCACAAATGACAGTTCCAGAGCCACAAGAACTACTATCTCCCTGAAAGAATTTAATTATTATAATGTGTACTTATCTGTATACCGTCTTCAATTTCATTGCTTCAGGCTCTTATTTGACACATGACGTGCACTTTTAAGCAGCTGTGATTTTACTTTTATTGGAAATGTGTGTCATATTTTGATTGCTCTCTGTGGTGAGCAATGTACCTCATTTGTGGTTTCCTTTCATAGCTGCAGTCTCTAGTTCTGTACTCAGTGCAAACCATGTACAGTAGGTTTATGCAATATATTTTATAATATCTGATTCATGTTCTACCCTACCCAACACCTCACATATCAGGACATATGTTCAATAATCGTTTTCTTTGCATGGTCGTTTATTGCCTTTGGCTGGACTTTCAGGGGAAAGTCTTACAGCAATTTTTTTTTAATATGCAGGTAATCATTTACTAGTTATGAAAAATCATTTGTGCTGAGCTTCTAAACAGAAGGGTGACATGCCATTTATTGCTATTAAAAGCTACACTATCAGTTATTCTGCTTTAAGGAAGCAGAGCTGACCAACAATCATTAACAGTTATGAGAACATTCTTAGATTGCTCATTCAAGTGTATGTTGCTTCCTTGTAGGATATCACAGATTATAACAGTTAATCCTTTCTGTAACTTAATCTGACACACTGCATTATAATAAATGTCCACCCTCGTCTGTCCAACACTGACTCCGCTCTCAAGTCTCTATTCAGAGTTCAGTTTTTCTGACATTCCTGGAAATCCAATGTTCACAGCATTTTAGTCATTCAAAATATTTTCTTTGTTTTGAAGCTTTGTAGGAAATGTAGCCTTGTTTTGCTCTTCTTTCTGCTTTCTTGTATTTTTTTGGAGATTCTCACTTTCTCTTCTGCCAATATGCATTGTGAGCCTTTATCAGTCTACTGCTAATTTGCTTCTCATTTCTAAGAAATAAGATATTCGCATTCTGCTTTTGGTGGTCTGGACACTTTTGAACAGAATTCAAACTAGTGGGTGGTTTATAATCATCTGATTCAGTGTTTTCTTTCATTTCTTCTGATTGCATCCTCACTGGCCTCTGATTGCTATCACTCTGTTACTCAATTGCAATCAAAACTCTTCTGTTTATTTGTATTGTGCCCTGTTCCTGTGGACAATGCAAGATATCAGGTGTGGCGATTTTTCAACTGTTTTTCCAGACCTCCACTGATCTTTGATTTCATTTGATTTATTACTGTCACGTGTACAAAGATACAGTGAAAAGTATTGTTTTGCATGCTAACCAGAAAAATCATACTTTACATAAGTACATCAGGGTAATAGAATAGAATGCAGAATATGGTGTTACAGCTACAGAGAAGGTGCAGAGAAAGATCAACTCGAATACATGACAGGTCTGTTCATAAGTCTAATAGCAGCGAGGAAGAAGCTTTTCTTGAATTTGTTGGTACGTGTTTTCGAACTTTTGTATCCTCTGCCTAATGGAAGAGGTTGGAAGAGAGTATAACGTTGATTATGTTGGCTGCTCCCCCTAGGTAGCAGGAAGTGTAAACGGAGTCAATGGAAGGAAGGCTGGTTTTCGTGATGGACTAGTCTACATTCCCAGCTCTCTCCTACTTCTTGTGGTCTTAGGAAGAGCAGTTGCCATACTAAGCTGGCATGTGTCCAAAATCTATGGTGCATCTATAAAAATTGATAAGAGACATTACCTGATCAAAAATCTATCTATATCAGCCTTAAATATACACGAGCACTTTGCTGCCCCAGCCCCCTGTGCAAGGAGTTCCAAAGATTCACAATCCTTTGAGAGAAGACATTCCTCCTTATCTCAGTCTTAAATTGGTACCCCTTTATTCAGAAAAAATATAGACTGTCCCCTGAGGGGAAACATTCAGCATTTACCCTGCCAGGACCCTTAAGAATTCTCTCTGTTTCAATGAAATCACCTTTCATTCATCTAAATTACCTTGAGTAGAGTCTCAACCTGTTTAGCCTTTGCCCATAAGACAATCCCTCCATACCAGAGTTCATCCCAGTGAATCTTCTGTGAACTGTCTCTTTAAAGCCTGGAGAGTGGCAGGTGAAAGAGGAGGTCTCCAGCAACAGCAGCAGCAATGCCAGGACGAGCCAGACACAACTCCATCCTAGCCCCGGGGTCTCTCGTTGAGCAAGAAGCAGGTCCTGGGCTGACTCGCAGGCTGGGCTGAGGCTCCAGGTCAGCAGCTAGGAGGCGCCTGAAGGAGCGGAAGCATCAGCAAAAGGAATGGACCGCGGATCAGCAGCAGCATCTGGAGGAGTGTCGGATGGGGAACAGGAGGCTTCTCCTGGCCCAGCAACGAAGTGGCTTCTAGTAGTCCAGTATGGTAGTCTTGGCTCAGCATAGCAGTCTTTATCTATCTTTGCTGGAGTCTTCTGGCCCAGTATTCCAGCAGCCCGGCGTTCTCGTCTTGGAATGGCAGTCCCGTGCTGGCTACATCTTCAAGGTATTCCATCATTCCATAATCATCTTTCCCTGAGCCCAGGAGCCATTAACTGAACTGTGATGAAGTTTGTCTTAATTATACTTTTTTTAGTTATTATACATGACTTCTGTCATTAATACAGGCACCGTGGTGCGGCAACTTATAACATTTTTCACTGTATTTTTCATGGAGACGCACACATGACAATATATTTCTGTTTGATTCTGTAATGTTGTGGATATAGAAAAAGAGAATCCCTGTACTGCAGAAGGAGTTCATTCAGCCTGTAGAGTCTGCACCGGCCCTACCATGAGCATCGCATCGAGACCTAGCCGCCCACCATAACCCCACATCAACCCTGGCTAATCCACCTCGCCTACACACCCCTGAACACTAAAAACAATATCAGCACAGCCAATCCACCTAACCTGCACATCTTTGGACTGTAAGGGGAGGTATCACATTGTGAATACCAGATCTTGCTTAGGATCATAGCACGCCAATCCTTAAAGGAGGACAGCTGTTTCTTCACTTTCCTGAAAACTATGGCTTGGCTACATGACCATTTCCAAGGCTGACCCTTTTTTAAGAGTTGACGCAAAGGTCCAGAATCAAGGCCAGGTTATGTATGGACTTTCTGTAATAACTCACCAGCTCAAGGAAAGACCTAAACTCCATTACAGATGTGGGAGATGGGCCACCTTTGATTGTCCTTGCTTTATCTTCCAATGGGTGTAACCTGGTCTTGTCGATTCTGTAGCTTTAGTAGGTCACTTAGGGTGGCTGGAACACATTTTTTTCCCTTCTAAGGCATATGCCTGCTTGGGAGAACCATTTAAGGACTATGTCCAAGTTCTCTAAGTGCTCCTTATTGGTCTTCCCTGTTATTAGCACGTCATCTAGATAATTACTCGTTACTTTTCTCTGCCCCAATGTCATCAGCCTGTAAAAATTAATGCATTATTTGCGCAAACAAATTTCTTCAGGAACGTGCTTTTCTCTCGTCAACGTTGAAATAACTCCACAGAGGCCAGTATCCTGTCACCAAGTCACCCTTTAGTTACACGTGAAGAGTCTTTGACACTGATCCAGGTCCCTCAGGGCCAGCCCTCAGAATGAACAGAACCTCTGACACTCTTGTTCTTATCTGTCAGCCAGGGCGCCCTGATTGTACCTGGTTAACAGCCCCAATCAGGGAACTCATATTCTTTGCGGTCCACCTGGCTGATCTCATTACAATCACTGCACTAGTCAGCAAATTTCTCACATACATCTGCAAATGCTAGTGCTTTCTTTTCAGTTACTGCATATCTTGTTGTTATCTGTTAATGACTATGATGCGTAATAGATAAACAATAATCGGGAAACAGTTCAGATTTGCTTCCATTCTGGAAAATGGCTGTATCAAAATTCCAGTTTTGTACAGGAGTGCATTGTTGTCAGTTTGACTTGTTGGAGTACATTTGCTTTGCGATGCCAGTCTGATGGTAAAGCTGCAGCATTGCAACTGGCAGCACTGTGAAATACCATGGACAGGCATGGATATGAATTATAATTTAGGCCTTAAGAGAAATCTACAAAGGATTATTTACGTGCAGGGAGTTTCACACTCGTATTATACCCATTTCATTGTTCTGAAAGTGCAAATGATGTGCCTGTTTAGGCAAAGCAGTAGAAAAGCACTCAGCTTCAGATCATACACTTCCTGGAGAACCAGTGGACCTCTGAATTTTTCAATTATGTGCTGGATTTGTATTTCTCTATGCAATATCTATAACAAAATTGTGACTGATATGTTAAATTTTCATATTTACATTTCGCTTACATATAAAATATAAGGAATATCTTCACTGCTGTAATGTCTAATAACGAGAGGTGGCCATAAGAGATAAGTCCATTTTGCATATCTCACCCAGCCTATCCAATCAGATCTGACTCCAGACTATGGGGGCAATTTTAACACCGCCTGCTCTTTGATACTTACAGGATTGGTTACAGTGCTCATCTTACACCACACCTGGTTTATTCTCTATAATGTTATTAGAGAGTAATTTTGGAGGGTTTATGAACAGCATTCCAACTAATCCTATGTGTCGTCTACACAGCGAGTTCAGATAAAATGATCTCACACTGCCATTTTTGCATCATAATAAAACTGTACTCAAGGTAAGAACACAGTTCTCCTCAATGGTTCCATTGATTTACAGCTATCATTTTAATTCCTCTTTAACATTCTGTTTACAGAAAGTCATGCACACAAGAAAACGTCATTCAGAGCTCTATCATGAACTAAACCAGAAATTCCACACCTTGGACAGATTCCGAGATTCCAAATCCTCAGGATTTAAGGTAAAGTTTAATTGTTTTTTGAGGAAATTTAATGTGCCTTAGAAATTAGTGTACTCTTGTTCTTTATTTTGAATATTACTTAGCAGTGTTTAAAAAAATGGTATTAGAGACCTACTGTGAACTGTGATCATTGTGATTTCTATCTAGATTGCTAATTGTGACAAAACCTTTTTAATATTAGATTGGTAAGGCTAAACATTACAGTAGGTTCTGTTCTTTAACAAGTGCTTCAATTGCTGATACACATTGATTTCTTTGCTCTTTTAAGGCAGAGGTGAAAATCTATAATATATTAAAGATTTGTTCATACTTCATACCACCTTTTCCATTTCAAATTTCTTTATCTACATTTATAATGGATGCTATCCATATAAACCTGTTGCAGTATCATTACACCATCTCACAAGTGGTAACTAGAATCAGTTTTATGTCTCCTTGAAGTTCAATTTATATTCTCTGCTTCAACCAATTGTAGCTATCCATTTCCCAAATTGTTTAAGGTTTCGATGTTTAACTTAAATAACAATGTAAAATCACAGCATTATACGAAGACAAGGACAAATTTATGGCATTCGAATTGGGAGTAAGTTACATCTGTATGCCCTGGTCTGATGTTTGCTTCACTGGAAAAGTGAATGTAATGAACCAGTGTTGAAAACTAAACAATACACATAAGGCATAGGGAAAAAAAATTATTCAGATGGTTGGCCCAAAAAGTATAACTAGCCAGTCAGCAGTGGATATTCATTTCAACCCTCTGACTCTGCACTGGTAAGTTTTCTTTTAATAGCAAGAGCCCCTTGTGCGTATGTATATTGAAGCCTAACCACTGAGCGATAAGATGAATATAGAGTGGTCCAGCCTGCTGAAACTCCACCCCAAAAAGGAAAAACATCCTCCATGAGTTTGGATGATCCACAAGATGCTCCAGATGCCTTTCACTATCTAAAAAGTGAGTGTGAGAATCACTGATCCACAAATTAGTTCTTACATATTTTCCAGCAGTTCTATTCACTGAATTTGACCCTTTGTGAATTAATTTGAACTCACTATAGTTCAATTTTAACGTAGCGTAGTAAGAGTATTTATAATTCTTTGAGATTATATTTAACTTTAGATGATCCCCAGTTCATTTTCGTACAATCATATTAGCTGATTTGCTGAAATAGGACTATATTAAGTCAAAATTAGTTCACAACAGCAAGTTATTTTCTCTTTTCATTCATATCCTATGATCAATGGACTTTCCACAGCCGCTTTGCAGAGAAAGTTCTGAATTCCTTCTTTATGCAAAACGTGCATTATGATTTCTCTCTAAAATTACCTAGCTCTATTTTCCAGATGTTGCCCCATCATTGTCGATGCCCTTCCAAAAGAAAAGGTTTTGCTGTATCTACTGTTTGTATTCCAGACCCAGTATAAAAGCCTTTTTAATTAGATTTATGGAGGTGAAACACTACAGGCTTTGTCCTCTCCATTATTTTCCAACCACCGCTGCAGACTACATGTGCAAATGTTGGCTGTGATATCCATTATAATTGAATATCCATTTATATAAATTTATATTACATATGTCTAGATTCATATCGAGAACAAAGAGGGAGAAATTAGAAAAATTACCATGTAAGTGTGTGATAAACAATTCCAATTGGCTTGTAGCATTCTGCAATATGATTCTAAATATCAATATTTTCTGTTTTTTTTATGCAGCAAGAGAAGCAATGTAGCATTTCCCCAGCAGGAGCTGAAAAGAGCACGCCAGCTGTAAGTTTAACATAGTACCTATTACAGCTACAATATGAAGATACTGAGCATCTGTTGATTTGAAAGAACCAGATTGGATATTCCAAGCTCTTTGCAGAACATTTCTGCAAACAGAAATACAAATGCAAACGTGCTGGAGAATATGGAAACTATTTGTGTCAAGTAGCTTCAGAGAGACTGCTGAGTTATTGATATGTTCAAACAACAACTGGTTCTTTACACATTAAAAAGCCATATGTAGCTCTGTCTTCTCACTCAGTCATTTTCTCTTACATCATCATGAGATGTGCTATTTACATAGACAAAGACATGAACCTTTACAAACTGTCAAACTGGATCTCTCCCAAGTCTTCACCCATTTTTTTTTATAGTCATGTACACATACTACCCCATTTCAAACCCCCTTCCCCCACCACCGCACCTCCACCATCCCCACGTCTCTGATATCATTGATTCGATCTTTCAGGAGGCTTCGCAACTCACCCTGATCACGTCCTTGTCGGAATTGGAAGATTACTAAACACTCAATGAACTCCTATTTCTTGACTTGGATGGCCTTCATTGAGATTTGTAATATTTGGTTCATTGTTAATTTCTGGCTCTAAATCTAATTCTTCCAAATTTATCACTGAAAGCATCACAAATTCCTACTGATTTACATTTATTACCTTCTGAATTATGCACTAAATAAGATCTCTTGATTAGCATTTCTCTGAACTATTACTCCTATCCCTTTGCATCATACCTATACCTATTCTCTTTCCATCAACAGGGATATGATCCGTTATGGTACTTCTGGTTATTTTCAGTAAAACTGTTCCCAGTCTTGAACTCCTTGATAATCCTGGACTGAAAGTAAGGTTTTGATAAGATAAGAAGTTATGTTTATACTTTCCTACCCATCAGCAGTTCTCATGGTGTCAACCCACATTGTTGACCTGTATTTTAGGAGTGCAGTCAGAATGTCTTTATTCTTCCTTAATAGTACATCAGGTGAAATTCTCTTTATACATCCTTGTTAAATTGAGTTAAGTCCACACAAATACTAAGAGTTATTTATGTGTGGGAATTGGTACATTTCTTAGCACCATGCTGTAGACTTGTGACTCTCATCCTAATCATTTCTTCCAGCTGTAGTCAGACTTGTTTCATTAATGAGTATGGATTTTCCTAGGTTTGAAAAGACATACAAATTTTCTGTCTTATCACAGAGTAATGCTATAATCAATGTTAAATCTTCCCAGACTAGTAAATAATTTTAGAAAGTCTTTTCTGAAGTCATTATTGGATTTTTGCTGATTTGACATCCACTTTCGGGGTCAGATTAGGTATTATACAGCTCTTCCACTTAAAAGAGAGAATTCCTGATTCTGTAAAACATGCAATGTTTCTAATATTTGTTTTCCCTTATTCTGGATTGTTTGTAAATATTCCATGATGTTTAATTTAATTCCTCCATAATCATGTAGCTGAGTTTTCATTGGCTCAGACAATGTCTTGATATCAATAGTTCATTGTTTGATAAAACCGTTGCACTCACTTCAGTATCCAGTTTGAACTTGATACTATATTCACTAATATGTATATCTGCACTACTGGCCATATGCGTGAAAACTTTTATTTTGGAATCTGAAAGTAGAGATTTTGCATCAGCACATTTTGCTTAAATGCATAATTGTTTTGCAGTGAAAATACTCTGCCATGTTTATAGGATTCTGTCCATGCCTGTGATTTTTTTTGATATCTTGCACATTTTCTAGCAATTATAACTTCTTTGGTACTTCCTTCACAGTCCTGTGCTTAAAGAACTAGTCACTGACGAATTCCTGAACCAAGATTTTTTGTCACCTCTCACTACTGTCCTGACTTGTTTACTTATCTTGTCTGCCTCACTGCACTGTAGTGGTTTTTCTATTGTGAGGTCTTCTTTAGATTGCAGTAAGCCTGATGAGGGATTTGTTGGCATTGCTGACTTTAATGTAGTCTTGTACTAGTTCTGCTTTCAGGTCTCTATATTTGTATCTTACAACCAGCCTGTAATCATTATCTGGTTCACTTGGCTTCTGGAGTCTTTTGTTGAATTTAGTCCTTCCCAGAATTTTATTACTCCTCCGGTGGAATGGAAATTTACCAAAGATCCTTAGATAGAGCCTTCCAAGCCCACAATCACTTCCATGTAGAAGGATGAGGGCAGCAGATACATGGGAACACTGCTACCTGGAATTTCCCCTTCAAGGCACCCATCACCATGACTTGGAAATAAATCACCGTTTCTTCTGTGTTGCTGGGTCAAAATCGTAGAATACCCTCCCTAAGAGGCAATCTACAACAGGTAGACTGCAGCAATTCAAGAAGACAGCTCACCACCAACTTCTGAAAGGCAACTAGGGACAGGCAATAAATGCTGGCCAACCAGCGATGCTCACATCTCACAAGTGAAAAGAAAATTTTTGCTAAAGGCTTTCTTAAAACTGCTTCAAGCTTCTCTGCAGTCTCATCAATATCTTACAATGACATTGTCTGTTTCTATGAAGTGAAGTAGCAATTTGTTACCCAGAGATTTTTATTTTTCTCTTAAGTGTTCATTTTTGAGGTTAATTTGGTCCTTCCATCTGTCTAAATCTCTGGATAGTATAATTTTAGGATCAATAGATGTTTGAGCTTTTAAGCAGTTTATTTGAATCTTAATTTTTTCTTTCTGAATCTGAAACTGTCCCACATTGCTTAGTCTCTCACGAAGTCCCACTGTCTCTGTTTTGCAAATCCCTCAGCTAGTCGACGTACATATTTCATAAATGGTGCAAAATTATTGAAAGCTACTTTGTTTTAACTTAGTTCAATAACCTTGTTACTTCCTTGCTATGGCGTATTGAGTATTTGCAGGTTTGATTTTTTTTTCCTTTGCTCCTTCAATTAATAGTATCGATCTCGAACCCAAACTATAGGGTTTTTATTTGAAGCCTCCTTTGCTAGAAATCTGGTTTTCCCGTGCTGCCTGCCGACTGTGTACTTAACATCATTTTAACAATTTCTAAGAGTTGTTCACCAGATCCACCATTTTGACTTGGTTTTCCACCTCAAAGCCTGTGATCACTAGATCAGAATCTTCTTCACAGTCCACCATGTTGCTGTGTACCATCTTGAATGACTTTGTTTTGTAATTTTTGACTTCCCCTTCCTCCAATTATTTTATGGAACAGTCTTCGAAGTCTTCAATTCTATCTTACCAAGTTCTGCAATTTTGGTACCACTTTTCCGCATCTGACTGTTAATCTCCTCTAAAGTTGAATTTCCAGCGTTTTAGGGCCCATCACAGCTGCCACCTGTGTTGAACCTGCGTTGTAATCTGTGTTGTAATCTGTGTTGAATAGTCTAACTTTGAAGAGACAACTGACTCATTGTCGTGTTCAAACAACAATTAGTTGTTTATTATGTATTACAGAACTATATGCACTACACAACTGGTTCTTACTTTGCTGAAGCTATGATCATTCTCACTCAAGTTTCCAAGTTCTTTTATATCATCAGTATGGAAGGTGCTATTTAAACAGTCCCAAGCATAACCTTTTACAAACTATAACATTAGAGAAACCACTGATATAGAAAAGAAAAATAGTGATTTCAAATAAGCTATTAAAGGGACAATAAAGTCAAGAAATGAAATAAATAATTGAGGGGTATAATAGGGAAGAAGGAGGATCTGCAGACTTCATTAGTCTTTAAATGAAGAGAGATTAAGCTCAGTTTATAGTATTTTAAAGGAACAGATCTTCATGAAGAGCAGTAATTTACCCAAACTGGTCATTAAGAAAATTATGTCAGTTGATTACGAAAGAATCAGTGGCCCTGTACTGTAAATATGTAATGGGTTCCATCATACACTCTCAGGCTTGAAATCCAGAGGATGTCATTCCCATTGTCCTGAGCAGTCAGAAATTTTACAGGGTGAGTCAGAGAGGTTCAGTGACCCAGCCCCCACCTCTTTCACCACTTAATGGCCACTTACGTAGAGTTGAGGAACCGCAAAGGTTAAAAAAAACATAATGGAAGTTATGGTACAGGCCCCCAAACAGTAGTCAGGCACAAAATACACCAGGAGATTAAAAGGTCATGTAAGAAAGACAAGGTTACAGTGATCATGGGAAATTTTAATATGCAAGTGGACCAGGAAAATCAGGTTGGTGGTGGATTGCAAGGAAAGGTTTTTTTGGAATGTCTATGAGATGGCTTTTTAGCAGCTTGTAGTGGAGCCCACCTGGGAACAGGCAATTCTGGATTTAGTGTTGTGCAATGAGGCAGACTTGATAAGGGAGTTTAAGGCAAAAGAACCCTTAGGAGACAGTGACAATAACATGATAGAATTTATTCTGCAATTTGAGAGGAAGAAGGTGGAATCAGATGTGATGGTATTACAATTGAATAAAGGCAACTACAGAGGCATGAGGGAGGATCTGGGCAGAATTGACTGGGAGAGGAGCCCAGCAGAAAGACAGCAGAATGCAATGGCAGGAGTTTCTGGGAGTAATTCGGGAGCACAGCAAAAATTCATCCTAGGAAAAAGAAGTATACTAAAGGGAAGATGAGGCAACCCTGGTTGACAAGGGAAGTCAGGACAGCACAAAAAAAAAACAGAAAGCATGTAATGCAGTAAAGGGCAATGGGAAGCCTACAAAGATCAACAGAGGACAACGAAAGAAGAAATAAGGATAGAGAAGATTAAATATGAGGGTAAGCTAACCAGTAATATAAAAGAAGATTCCAACAGTTTCTTTAGATATATAAAGGGCAAAAGAGGGGCAAAAGTGGACATTGGGCCACTGGAAAATGACGCAGGAGAAGTAGTAATGAGAAACAAAGAAATGGCTGAGGAACTGAATAAGTACTTTGTGTCAGTCTTCAAGGTAGAAGACATGAGTAATATCCCAAAAATTCAAGAATGTCTGGGGACATCTGGGGAATGTATGGTGGCCATCACTGAGGAGAAGGTGCTAGAAAAACTGAAAGGTCTGAAGGTGGATAAATCACCTGGACCAGATGGACTACATCCCACAATTCTGAAGGAGATAGCTGAAGAGATAGTGGAGGCATTACTGGTGATCTTTCAGCAATCACTAGAGTCAGTGACGAACCCAGAGGACTGGAAAATCGCTAATGTATTCCCTGTTTGAAAAGGCAGTAAGGCAAAAGATGGGAACTTTACAGGCCAATTAGCCTGACCTCAGTCATTGGTAAGATTTTGGAGTCCATTGTGAAGGATGAGATTTCTGAATACTTGGAAGTGCATGGTAAAATAGAGCAAAGTCAGCATGGTTTCATCAAGGAGATGGCCTGGCAAATCTGTTAAAATTGTTTGAACAGGTAATGACCAGGTTAGACCAATTGGAGCCAATGGATGTTATGTACCTGGAACTCCAGAAGGCCTTTGACAAAGTGCCACAAAGGAGGCTGCTGAGTAAGATAAGGGCCCTTGGTGTTAGAGGCAAGGTACTAGCATGAATGGAAAATTGGCTGACTGGCAGAAAGTAGAGAATGGGGATAAAAGGATCCTTCTCAGGGTGACAGCCAGTAACTAGTGGTATTCCACAAGAGTCAGTGTTGGGACCACAGTTTTCACTTTATACATTAATGATCCAGGTTGAGGTGGTAGTTAGGAAGGCAAATGTTGACATTTATTTCAAGAGGACTAGAATATAAAAGCAGAGATGTACTTCTGAGGTTATATAAAGCACTGGTCAGACCACATTTAGAATATTGTGAGCAATTTTGGGTCCCATACCTCAGGAAGGATATACTGGCCTTGGAGCAGATCCAAAGGAGGCTCACAGGAATGATTGCAGAAAAGAAAGGCTTAACAAATGAGGGACATTTGAGGACTCTGGGTCTATACTCAATGGAGTTTAGAAGGATGAGGGGGATCTAATTGAAACTTATAGAATACTGAATGGCCTGGTGAGAGTGGACGTTGGGAAGGTGTTTCCATTAGCAGGAGAGACTAGGACCTGAGGGCACAGCCTTAGAGTAAAGGGAAGACCCTTTAAAACAGAGAGTGGTGAATCTTTGGAATTCATTGCCAGAGAAGGCTGTGGAGGCCAGGTCATTGAGTATATTTTAGACAGAGATAGATAGGTTCTTGATTGTCAAGGGGATCAAGGGTTACAGGGAGGAAGCAGAAGAATGGGGTTGAGAAACTTATCAGCCATAATTGAATGGCGGAGCAGCCTCGATGGGCTGAATGACCTAATTTCTGCTCCTATGTGTTACAGTCTTAAGGTCTTTAGGGCCTAATCCTAGCCTCACTGGTATTTTAACTGTGGCAGGAGCAGATCCATTCTATGCAGAAAGCCCAGAAGCAACTGTGTGGGTTGATGTTGGGCAAGGTGGACAGCTTCCTCCCAAGGCCTTCCCCGATCTGTGTACCCTCCCCTGGCTTCATGAGTCCACCTCCCTCACCTACCTCAACCGTCTTGATGGAACCTTGACCCTCAAATCTACCTGTGCTCTTTAGGTAGTGGGACTGCCACTAGTCCCGGCAATGGCTACTGATCCAATTAGCCAGCAATTCCCATAAGCATACATCTTACTTTAAACAATGCAGCTTCTATTGTTACAGCACAGCCATCAGAATTGTGTCTTTCACCCTATTTACTAATGTTAATCAGCTAGATGAGTCACTCCAAGCCTTCCAAATGCAGATGAATTATGACATCTAATTTTCCATCGACAACGGTATCAATAAGTAATATTGTCAGAGCACAAATTAGCTGCTAAATCTGGAACATTCCAAAACTCAATATAGAGATGAAATCACAACACCAAATATCTGTAATGACAGATTACGCGATTTAATTTAGCAATTTGTTTTCTTTCTTTGTGGACAAATGTAAAAACTGTCTTTTACTGACAAAACTGATCAAGTTAATGATTTAATTTTAGAAGTTGTTGACACTGTCTCCAATTTGATCAGCTAAATAATCCTCTCAAACTAAAACAAGAAGACTCAAGATTCAGGTTTCAAGTTAGTTGCACTCATGGCCCAAGAAAACTGGCACCATATATTATTGAAAGATATTCTGGATCAAGTCTCCATCCCCATCCCCATTCTGTATGATTTGGCTGGTCAAAGCAAGGTATTAGAAAATGATACAATGACTTCAGTCCTCAAAGCAAGGGATAGGAGGGGGAGACTTTAGACAGATCTGCTACTTTTGACTATGAATCTCAGTGCAAGTAGTCACTTTTAGGTGAAAATGGGTAAAGTTGAGCAATACCTCAGTCTTGATAGGGTACTGCATGCACCAATAAAAAGACTGACTTGTAAATATTCTATTCTCAGGAACAAACTGTACCCTTGGAGCAGTCATGGGACAACTTCACGAGCCCACCAGCCAACACACTTCATTTAGACAGTCAGGAAAATTTGGAACTTCATTCGCCGCAGTGGGAAACATCTGCCACAATTGCTTTGGATACATCTGAAGGAGACTTTCAAACCGAAGTTTGAAGGAGATTCAGAGGTAAAAACAAACTGACAGAAACAACAGACTTCAAATATATATTTTCACACTGATGCTTTGAGAAGAATTTTCTTGTGTGTCAAATTCCCGAAGAAAAGTCAAGTTCTTATTTTCAACATTTTCACTACAACTGATTGGTGAGACGGCAAGACTGAGTCTGTGAAACTAAGTTCCAGATCTGTGTACTGAAGACCTTACTTCCTAGACGATTTTCTTTTGATGAGCTGTGTGGAACCCGCAACCAAGACTAAAAGGATTCAGGCACCATCTCTAGTTGACACAGCTAAGTTTAAGATGAAATAAATTTTTAGTGAGGCTCCATCACTTTTGTCTCAACATCTTATTGAGAAAAGACAATCAGGCAACAGTTATTTTTAAAAATACTTTTGTATATGCTTTATTGTTCTCTTTTGTGAAGATTGTGACTTATGTCCTGGATTTTGCAATGGCTGCTCTTCCTGTAATCTTTTCCTTTGCTTTTTGCTGTTCCCAACACCCAACAATACTTTTCCATCCAAGTTTGTTTGAAAAAGGCCCAAGGCAGTAATTGTGTGAGGCCCAGTGCTCAGTATGCGCTTTATTAGATGCAAGCACAGGCCAGAATCAGAGTTTTGATGATATAGTACCAGTTTTTGATCGTATTCATGACTTGTGAGGTTTTTAAATCAGAGAAGAAAGTCTCACAAAATTACTCCTGCAAACAATAATATTGAGATAGTACCAGCAGGTGCAGAATCAGTAAAAGCAGAAGAGTTCTTTTACCTAGCCTGCCCATCAATAAACTATAGTAATCAGGTGCAGTCTTGCTTGATGCTGCTCTCTGCTGGTTTCAATAACCAGCTGTAGAGCCAGAATTCTACCTGTTCTTTTGCTTTTTCTGCCTTCCAATTAGATTATAAGGACTCCCAGTCAAGGTGCCTCTCTGAGGAGCCAACTCGGTAATAATCACTAAATCATTTTTTAAAAAGCTGATGTATCACTTCACGTTAGAAATCTCACACTTTTGTTTTGAAACAAAAGCACTTTTAATTTTCTCTATGAGTCCTTCACTTTTATAAAAAACAAGTTAATCCTCCATTGCGTTGCTTATGGGAAATTGGGCTTTTAGGAGAGGGAGTGTTGAGCAGGGCATCCCAAAGTGGAGGTCAGTTCCCCAAGTGGGGCTGCAAGCTGTCATTCTAGGGTCAGAGGCTCTGAGGCAGCAGTGACAGCAATGTTTTATCTGGTCTCAGATATAACAGATATATAGTCTCTCTCTAACAGACCTCTGTTCTCTTTGTTCTCATTGAGGGATCACAACAATCTTTCAAGCCTCAAAATGGAGTCCGAGTGGGAAAAAGTTTGAGAAACAGTATTGTAACAGAGGTTTCAAACATAAGATTAGTGACCAGATTTGTAATGAAGTTTGTGAGAGTTGTGCTCAGAGATGCTGAAGTAATTTTTTATTATTGTTCCTAGAAAACTTGATCCAATTAGATTTTTGTTCTGTGCAGACATTTCATAGATATGTTAAACACACAATCACATGTTCATATTATAAATAAATATCTATATAGGTCTTGCATCTAACAGTTGTCTGTCACACTTCCAAGTGTCAGGCCCAAAAATGTATAACACGTACCTGATTAATTGATTAATTGAAATACAATTTTCATGAGCCTTCAACAAATCATCACTGAAGCTTTGAACATACCAACAGATAAATGGGAGGCAGGATCAATAACTATCTGATCCCTGTCATCAGAGCTTGTCAATAAATTTTTGTTCTATGAAAATAAAAGGTATCTTTTAAATTTGTTAAATCAGCAAACCATCAATCTGTCTGTTTTTGGGTCATTAGTATGGTTGGAATATAGGGCAGTTGTAGCAAGCTGGCTTTGGATTTGTCAAAGTGGAAGCTTTCATTTCTTACATTGTAGAAGGAGCAGAATTGCCATTGATTGAACAAGACCCTTTGAACTTCAATTAAGTTTCCTATTTTAGTTTCCAGACCGAGAAGATACGTCATCTTTCCAAGAGAAATGGTGTGGTTTGAGTGTATTAATTACAACAGATTAAAAAATAATAATAGCTTTCTTTTGTAAAAAAAATACTTAAATGTACAAGCTGCAAATGAGAAAACTGTGAAATCGTGTTAAAATCAAAGATTATGTTTTTTCAGTACATTTCCCTTATCTTGAAGTTTACTGTAATTCTACCTCTCCAGCCAAAAATAAATCTAATTCTTTCAATACCATTATCCCTTCAGTGATCTTTACATTCATCAACTGGGATTTCAAAGGTTTTGCTGATGGGAAATGAAAGGCAAGTTTGCGAGAGAAGGGGTAGTTAATAATTTGGAGGAAGAATGGAGAATGATGTACCCATCACCTATCTGTCACCATGGCATTTTGCCAGGAGCAGGGAAAGTGTCAGAAGATTCTTATGCCCATAGGCGAATTGTATCACAAGCAGCCAATTAAGGACCTCTTGTTCCTAGCACGGGTATTTTACTGGTGACTGGTGTGCTATCCACTGCATGTGGAGAACATGATCCTGTGATCTTAGAGGAAGAGCACTCCTAATTGAGCACACAAGATGGGCTGTCATCATTTAAATATCTGATGGCAGCTTATTGACTGCTTAATTGGCATAAACTCTGGTTGACCACCCCAAAACAGTGGTGACAGTGTTGCCCTCATGTTGGAACAGAAGCAAATTGACACATTTCCAGTCACTGTCTGTTCTAGGTTGTGTTTTTCTCAGTTTGATATTCATGAAGTTAGCAGTACACCCCTGTGACAACTCTTTCATAGAGCAATCACATCAGATTCAACTACCCCACTTTTTGTCTGTAGCTGTCAGTTCCCAAACTTCATCTATCTAGTTAATTCCCTTTGGAAATTAGATATAAAATCAGTTTCTACCACCCATCCAGGTAGATCTTTTTCAGATCCAGTTCTCCCCCCTGGATCTTTTGTCAATGATTTTGAATCTATGACCTCTGGTACTGGCTCAGTTGCTAGAGAGATTTTTTTTTATAGCCCCTATCTCAAAACTCTCAATCTTGAAATTTCTTAACCTTTTGTTTTCCAACTTCCACTCAAACTGAAGTCTGCTATCCCTGGTTACGTCCTGGAAAACATCCATTAAACCTTTACTGAGGATGTTACATCTCAAAGTGTGACACAAGAATTGTCCACATGCTCTGTCTGAGGCATTGATTTATATAGTGCTAGTATGATCACTTTGCTTTTATATTCCATTCCTCATCTTATGAACTCAAGTAACCTATATGCCTCTTTAACTTGATCTGGCATCTAAGATCTCTGCTCATCAGTAGCTTTCAAAGTATTGCCATTGTCGTTTCCTGCCCTTTTACATTAATCCCTCAAAATTCTTTGCATCGAACTCTGTATACCATGTTTCTCTCCATTTTATCATATTATTGGATACATCTAGGCAATTAAAGGTGTACAGAAAACAATCCTGATTCACTTTCACTCTAAATCTTTGCCTTTACATCGTCAAATGGTGTAATTCAAATCTGTTTTTGAGCTGTCAGCCTTGTTAAGTGTTATCACATCATTGTTTATAAGCTGATCACTTTTTGCTTATATTCTAAGTTGGAATGGATGAGATAAATATAGTTATCTTGTAAAGTTTGTAATGCTTTCTGCCCTTTATATGTCACAAATGCTATTGATAGGGCTAAGTTTCTCAACTCAGTCAGAAACTAAGATAATACCCAAAGGATATATTTCTGTGGCAAGTGGTTCACCTGCTGACACTCCAGAACCCTTTTGCATCTACAAAATACAAGTCAGAATGTGATAGAATGCTCTCTGTTTGGCTAGATATTTGCATCCACAACAACATTCAACAAGCTTGACAGATTGAAGCAGCCCCATCTATTGACAGTCTATCAATCTCCTTAAACAATCAGTCCTCCCTCCACTGATGCACAAAGGCTGCAATATGTATTATTCACGGAATATCTTTCAGAAAATTGAATAAGCTTCTTCAGCAACAACTTGGAAAACTGGCATCTCTATCATCCAAAGTAGCAGGAGAGCAGATGCATAGAAACACACTGTAAGTTCCTCTTTAAATCACATCATAACAACTTGAAAAAATGTCACTCTTCCTTCAACATTGTCAGGTCAAAATGCTAGAAGTCCCTACCTTCCAAGCCTGTGGAACTACGTTCACCACACAGACCTCAGAAATTCAAGAAAACTCATCTCCTCAAGGGCAACTAGGGGTGAACAGTAATTTCAAAAAATATCATTTTTATAAAAACAAACATTCTGATGCACTCGTTAATGCTCCTTTATCCTTGATAACTCGAGTGCCCACAATTGTTTGATAGACAATTGCCTATGCTGTAACTGTTATGTCTACATTTGTTTAGTACAGTTCCTACCCATTCAGTTATGTTTTGTTGTTTCACGAAGATGAAATTTGGCATAATCAGGTTTAAGTACAACAGACAAGTGCTGATGACAGGCCTGACATGTGACACCCAAAGTGTAACAGAGAAATTGTTTTTAATATGCAAGACCTCTTCATATATACATAGAGAAAGAGATAGATTTGATGTCAAGAACACATTAATGTGGAATGAACGACATTTTTGGTATGTTTCTAATCATTTTGAAGAATAAGTAAACTAGATTGCTCCGACATATTGTTTGAAGCCTGGATAATATTAGGATATTGACTGTGTGGTATTTTAGATTTCCTAATGCAATAAAGTAAATTGGATCACTACTGGAATAGTGTTGATTGTTTTAAAAAGAAAAAATGATGACCCTTGGGAAAGCTCTTAGTACCAATGGAACATCTTTCTATATGCATTAAACAAATGCTGGTCTCCCTTCTAACAGTCAAATCTACATAAACCTGTGTGACATTTGTACACATCAGGGATATAGTAGCACTGCGTTTATATTACTGCACAAGGTCCAGAGATGTAAGTTAATAAGCTGTACAAGACAGCTGGGGAATTTAAATTTAATTAAATAAAATTGAAATATGAACGTAAGAAAGAGCAACAGGAAAGGACCATGTCCGCGAACCTACCATACTATTCAGTACAATCATGAATGACCTTTTTGCTTAAATTGCACTTTCTCACCCACTCCTCCTAGCTTTTGATTCACTGAAAGTGAAAAACTAATCTATCCCAACCTTAATATAATGATAATGATTGACTATCCAAAAGCATCTTGGCTAAGAATTCCAAAGATTCACATCTCAGACTGAACAATTTCGACTTAACTCAGCCCTAAATGTTCTAAACAGATTTCTGTAGTCAGCAACTAATAACTTTTATTACTAAAACCAAACTAAGATGATGTCACCATGTATTCCAT